CGATAGCCAAATGGCGGCCGCTTTAAGGCCGAAAATGCATTGAAATCGCACATTTTCACCATTCCGAACCCGGATCTCAGTTATGCATGGACGGATTTCATTCAAATTTGGTACTTACATTAAACATAATAGGACCTTGATGCACGTCATTTTTTTTTCCGGATCAAGTTCGAAATGGCCGACTGGCGGCCATTTTCTTAAAGAATTCAGTTCTGGATCCGTATCCAAGACATGTCTGGATTGATCAAGTTCAAACTTCACACACACATGGTGCATCATGTCACAAATATATATGTGCATTTGTTTCATGATCCGCTTAACAATAGCTGAATAATGGCCATTTTAAGACCGAAAATGCATTAAAATCACGTATTTTCACAATTCCGGAACCAGATCTCAGTCATGCATGGATGGATTTTGTTCAGATTTAGTACAATGTGTTGTACATATGCAGGTGCATTTCGGTCATGATCTGCTTTGAATGTATATGTCACTCAAATATGAACGGAATGGGGACGTGTCATTGACAATGACTTGTTATATTTAGAACCGATATAGACTAGTCCAATCGTCATACTGTGATAAATATGAATATTGGCGCAGTATAACTAATCAGACATATAAACAATTTTTGTTATCAAAAATAAGATGATGTCCCTGTTTTGTAAGGTTTATGGTTTTAGCGAACTGCAAAATGCAGTTGCCGAGCGTCTCCATTCGTGCCTGCAAATATAATTTTAATTTACTGTGATAATAATACCATAGACAGGGGATCGTACAATTTCGTTTTACAGACAGGGGATCGTACAATTCTGTTTTACAGACAAGGGATCGTACAATTCTGTTTTACAGACAGGGGATCGTACAATTCCGTTTTACAGACAGGGGATCGTACAATTCTGTTGTACAGACAGGGGATCGTACAATTCTGTTTTACAGACAGGGGATCGTACAATTCTGTTTTACAGACAGGGGATCGTACAATTCTGTTTTATAGACATGGGATCGTACAATTCTGTTTTACAGATAGGGGATCGTACAATTCTATTTCACATACAGGGGATCGTACAATTCTGTTTCACAGACAGGGGATCGTACAATTTTGTTTTATAGACAGGGGATCGGAAAATTCTGTTTTACAGACAGGGGATCGTACAATTCTGTTTTACAGACAGGGGATCGTACAATTCTGTTTCACAGACAGGGAATCGTACAATTTTGTTTTATGGACAGGGGATCGGACAATTCTGTTTTACAGACAGCGGATTGTACAATTCTGTTTTACAGACAGGGAATCGTACAATTCTGTTTTACAGACAGGGGATCGTACAATTCTGTTTTACAGACATGGGATCGTACAATTCTGTTTTACAGACATGGAATCGTACAATTCTGTTTTACAGACAGGGGATCGTACAATTCTGTTTTACAGACATGGGATCGTACAATTCTGTTTTACAGACAGGGGATCGTACAATTCTGTTTTACAGACAGGGGATCGTACAATTCTGTTTTACAGACAGGGGATCGTACAATTCTGTTTTACAGACATGGGATCGTACAATTCTGTTTTACAGACATGGAATCGTACAATTCTGTTTTACAGACAGGGGATCGTACAATTTTGTTTTATAGACAGGGGATCGGACAATTCTGTTTTACAGACATGAGATCGTACAATTCTGTTTTACAGACATGGGATCGTACAATTCTGTTTTACAGACATGGGATCGTACAATTCTGTTTTACAGACATGGGATCGTACAATTCTGTTTTACAGACATGGGATCGTACATTATAGAATGCATAACAATGTTTACACTGCTCTAACTGACCTTTCCAGCCTTCATACTGAGTACAATTTGAGGAAGTGTTACACACTAGTCACACATTCTGCAATGATTAAAACACCGATTATTTTCAAATTAGCTATTATAAACTTCATCTAAGTCTTCTCAAAGACAAAAATCAAAAAGCAGTGTTAGCTTGTTTTAATTTGCCAAACACTCATTTGAGTAGCATCTCAGATTTTATAGAAAAAGACTTTGTCTGCATACTGATTATTGGGCCTTCGAAATGAAATAGGCCTTCAATTGTATACTGTTCTGGGACCTCTGTAGTTGAATAACGCTCCTATACTGCCTTTGGACTTATGTAGTGAAATAATCGATCATCTGTCCTGGGGCTTTTGTAGTGTGAATGAGCAGTTACAGTTATATATAGCAGTTATATGACACATGATAGAAATATTGTTCTGTTTAATTTACTTTTATTTTACTGTCTATAGTTGTTGGTTGTGGTGATCCTGGCGAAATTGAGAACGGTCAAAAGCATGGGACACTTTACGACATTGATAATTTCGTCAGATATGTATGCAATGAAGGCTATGAACGTGTTGGTCCGTCAAGACGGGATTGTTTGCCGAATGGTTATTGGTCCGGATATCAGCCTCACTGTAAATGTAAGTCTTGTTAAAGCGCTACAATCGTTGCACCGCATCCCGTTCGATAAATGAGTCTCGAATATGTTCATTCATGAAATAGTTATACCCATGTGTTCCCACAACAGCGCACTGGTCAAAACAAACAACAGTAAATGTAAATAAACAAACATATAAATTATTACAAAATCACCAAGTATGTAAGAGTGATTAGAGTCTTGTTTAATAAGGAAAGTGAATCAAAAAAATATATACTTTACCAACAAAAAAATGATTAAACATATATGTTAAACGATTAATAAATTTAAACCATTCTTCGTAACGATCACTCTACTTAGAGGTACATAGAACAAATCTTTCCCCTCGCATTGAACCTGTTTTACTTGGGCGGTGCACATACATGGCAGTTCAAAAGAGATAAATCTATTTTCTCAAAAGTACCAAGTATCTGTGTGCACGCAAGGCCTGTATACCGTAACATTTACAAATATCACCAATCGCACCTTAATATGGAAACCATGCATTACCAGAATTTCATAGCTTTCTGTGTTGATTTGTTTTACGATTTTAATGCGTTACACTGAATGTATTGTACTCGACAGTGGGACATACTAATGTCATAAAGAAAAGTTACATTATTGATTAGATGAAACTAGCCCTTGCAGAGACCAACTAACCGAATAGACATAACCACAGTCCCTCTATCCCAATAAAATAGATGAATTAATGAGCTACTTGTTGGATAAATTATGACCATATACAGATATCCTGATTAAAAAATTATGTGAAAAAGCTCGTTCTCACCGGGAA